ACCTCGTGCACCCCGGTGAGGCGGAGATTTCGATTTAAGGAAACCGTGTGAACACGGTCCTTCGGTTTGATTGATTTACTTTGATTCACCACTATTTTATCCAACAAGTCGAATATTTTCGAAAATTAATAATATATAAAGAAATGCTCGATAAATTTTCGAGTAACGATTGTTTCTGATCCTCATTGTTCATATCTCATCATCTCCTTGCCAGTTGATATAATCATTCTGTTGGAGGTATTCTTGATGATTCCATTGATATGCAATCAAGTCATTGAGGACAAAGAACATACATCCATTACTCATTAACAGGTCCGAACTAAGAAAAGCATATTTCAAGAAGACGAACAATCTATTTTGCTAAAAATTTGACAAAAATCAACTACATTTTTCCTTTTCCTTGATACAAAGAACAGAAACTGAAATTATTAATTCACAAAGTTTAAGGTCACAATCAAGGACCATTCCTCTTAAATAATGTTCATCAATACAATTGTATCCATGACAAGAATAAAAAATATAGTTAAGATTTGCAATTTTAGTCAAGCAACATTGTGTAACATGATAACTTCTGTCACCACCTTGTGCAGTTCACTTGTCTGTTTACGCAGATATTTTAGCCGGTTTCTGCTCTGTCGTATGCATTAGACTTGTGCTTAGGTGAAAATGTGAACCCTGCGGGAACCTTGCCAAGTAATATCTCGGAGATCCTAATCTGCAGCAGAAATGATATGCTTGAGTGATGATAAACATATAAATTGTATGTCGAACATATAAGCAGGTTCAAATAGAGAGGATATACCCAATCGGCAGCAGAGTCGGAAGCCATTAGTGTCTCGAGGTCGTCACGACCAAAATATGAAGGTGTCCGCCGATCAATCCTTTGTAGGATAATATCTAAGTGACTAACTGCAATATATCTGCATGTGTAACTAAGCCACTCCAGCAAGAAGTGCCTTGTTGTTTCGACTCCTGCTATTCAGTTCAAATGATGTAATTTGACAAGCAGTAATGATCTATAATTGTTTATGGAAAAATAATAGGCCAATGCAAAAGTTTCGAAATATATTGTATGATTATTGAAAACGAAACATTTGGAGCAAGAACTCTTTTCTAGACCATGTAACATAAATTTAAAATTCCCTCTAACAGGAAAACATAAACGTGACTGTTCAAAAGCATACATACATACATATGCATGCACGTACATGCAAGAGTTATATGGTATCCGAACCCAAGTGTTCAAGGCCAAACTGTACGTAATCCTTCAAAATGTCCAACCGCTCTCTTGAACTTATGTCCGAGTGCCTCTGTTCTTTAATCTCAGTAAATATCCAGGGCTGTAACGGTGCATTAAAATAGCAAATCGGAAGTTGCTTTAAGTATCATCAGAGAATGCTGAAACACTCTTATCTGCAAGAACAGAAGGTACAACTTCACCACCAACCTTAATTAATGCCCCTCTACCAATCATACATGAAGAGAGCTCGGGGCAATTGGACTTGTGATTGTTCCAGTCTCTGATGATTGTAATGTTGTCTTAGAAGTGCCCATTCTGAAGCTTGACCCTAAATGTATTTCAGAGAATATAAAAATTATGACATAAACTTGGGATTATTTGTATAGCACAAGAGACCGCAGAAAGGAATATCCATTTTCATCACTGCAAAGCAATGTTCTAAAAAGCGTAAAGCGTGGCTAGGCGTGGAGGCCAAGCTTCCAGCTTTACGAGCCTAGGCGAATATTAGGCGTAAAAAAGCGTTTTTTTATTTTAAATTTTTAATCATTGTAAAAAAATTCAACAATTCAAATAATACATACCAAAAATCTAAAATTATAAAATATTGCATTTATTTAATAATTCCTTCATAAAGTAGCTTGAAATTTAGATGTTGAAGAATCATCTTCTTCCATTGGTTTCTAGGAAAAAAAGAAAAACAATACAAATGTTTATTATTTACAAAATCCAGACCCAAAAAGCATATGAACGTGAAAACAAATGAAAATTTAGTTACATAAACAGTTAAGCACTGATTGGGCCTCACGTCAAGGGCTAAAAGGTATTCTTGATTAAATTTCCAGATTTTTCTACAGGAGTTATTCCACAATCAGTTTGGAATCATTGCCCTGCATAAGATTTATGAGGGCTACAAATTACAATTGAATCTCTCGAAGTNTCATATGTATATACAAAATAAAAATTCACAACAAATGATTTTCGATTAATTATAAAAGCTCATATTACAGTTTCAGATGACTTCTTAATTGCAGAAGCTCAGATTATGTTTACCCGTTTTCACTATTGAATCATTGATAAATGCAATACACTTTTATTCTGAGTTATATAACTTCACTACTTAATAAAAATCTTAATTACTGTGGGTTATATTTAAAAAAGGGGGAAATTTCGGGCCTCCAAGGCTAAAGTGCGCTAGCCGCATAGGGCCCCTAGGCGCTCCCCGGCGTGCCTAGGCGCGCTTTAAGTGGTCAACGAGCAGTCAACATTGTCGGTGACCGCTTAATTACCGCTTAGCCTCAAAGCGAGACGTTTTCATCAAACTTCGAGCCTAGGCAAGTTTTTTAGAACAGAGCTGCAAAGTCAACATGCCTGTTCGTGAAATTCCGCAAGTGTATGGTCATGACAAGTAATAAAGTGGATTAATTAAGTCCGAATATCGTTCTACGGAGACTACTATCTACTATAAATTTTAAACTTGTCTAACTTTAATTTAAATTAAAATAGTAACTAATAATCAAATAAGTGCTTGTCTATTTGCAATTAAAATCCAATTTTAACTGGAATTCCAACCGTTGGAAGAGGCCCCACCAGCAGCAAAATTTGACTTCTACTCACATGAGTTTTGGAACCTTGTGCTCAACGGTCAATAAATCAATTCCCAACCTGTTGGAAAGCAACACCAGACAAGCACCAAATTATGTTTTCTAAATAAAGTTCTAATAAATAAAATAACAAACGATTAATTAAAAATAACAAACTCAAATTAAAAATGTAAAAAAAAAATTATGTAATTGGATAGTTAGGATTTTCAATTTCACTTAGGTTATCTATCATACATTTAATTCCAATTTAATTAACCATTTTTTATACGTGCCAACGATTGAATTAACCTATTGTATTTATTTAGGATTTTCAATTTCACTTAGATTATCTATCATACATTTAATTCCAATTTAATTAACCATTTTTTATACGTGCCAACGATTGAATTAACCTATTGTATTTATTTATCTCTCTCAAGTAACACTAATCTTATTCATATGCCAAACTTATTATATCTCTATATAAATTCACACATATATGAACGCATTTATCCACAGGAATTCAAAAAAGATTGCATAGCTCATAATTATCTACCGACCTCTTATAATGTCTATGTTAATTATTGCATGAGTTAGAATTATACATCATCTCTCGGTCTCAGTATTATCCCTAAATCAATTAATTATTGCGCAAATAATTAAAATATTAAACACATAATAATTAATTAGCAAGTATTAAAATAGCATGAACATCTTGAAATTAAACATATAATAAAAACCTTAACCTACATCATCATTCTTAACAATAAAAGTATTTAGCTACTCATAATATTGAATTTAAATATGTAAAAATGAAAAGATATCATCAAAAATTGACGAAACGTGAAAATTTATGGTATTTTCCTTTTCTTTTCTTTCCTTTTTTTTTATTATTTTCCTTCTCTTTTCTTTCTCTGCGTCTTTTCTTTTTGTTGACTTTTTCCCCTTTTTCTTTTCCTTTTCTTTCTTCCCTTTCTTTCCCCTATTTTCTTTTCTGTGTTTTCGTCAACACTGCCGTAGCTTCCTCTTTCTTTTATTTTTCTCAATTGGTTGTGCTCCCCCTTCTTCTGCGTGTGTATCTCTTCTTTATATATTGCAGTCCATGTTTAGTCTAATTTTAAATGCTCGAGTTGAGGTCCAGTAAATTCCAATATCAAATTAAATTAATTCTTATTTCCAATTCCTCAATTCTATTATGTAATGCAAGTTGATCCTCAAAACAATTTTATTTGTGCAGCATATGCCAATTTAGTCCTCGTACTTCGGATTTTGCTATTTTTCCTCTATTTTGCATTTTTTCTTCAACTCTTCATTAAATATAAAGTTTTACTTACAAAATACAATTTAACATAAATTACCTAGAATTTTATTCGAAAGATAATAAAATATCATAATTTAGAGCCTCAAATAAGTATAAAAACTACACTTATCACACCCCCAAACTTGACTTTTTGTTTGTCCTCAAACAAAACTAACATCTAATAAAAAATGCAAACACGCAACGCTAATTACCTAATTGGTGGCCAGTCGACCAAACAAAGCAAAAAGATTTAGCTAGCTAGCTTGACTTTTTATCTCAATATTGAAATCATAATATTAAATCTAATCACAACTTCAAAATCACAATATAGAAATTAAAATCTACTTTTTCAGTGTAAAATCGACGTGTGTTTGTGTGAAGAATTAAGTATGGCATCATGAATTTATAAGTTATTTCAATTCCCGATCCTCAATTATCATATATTATTTCATCACTCGTAAGATCCATACACGCCCAAACTTATTCTTTTCATTTTTTTAAAGTGTGTGAATTAAGGTTGAATTTTATACTAACCACACCTCTTTAGTTTAGGTAAATCTCACTAATTGCTAATCAATATGACAATAAATAGGGATTCTCTATAGTTTGATTGTTTCAATCTCTAGGGCTTAACTAGGCTAATATCCCTTATCGAAAGTCAATTTTTTACAAATAAGTGTTTATGACATAATCAAAACATTTGGTGTGTCTTCTGTTTCATACACCTGCTTTTCGGATTTTCTGAAAAAAAAATTGACTTTTTTTTCTTTATTTGAATCATTCTCACCCTTAAACTTTCTAAATAACCCATATAACAAGTTTTCGACCGATGACTCCCAAATCACATGATCATAGGGCTCAGGTGAAATTGTTTTTTCACTCTCATGAAATGTGTCACGGTGACATAAATTTTTGTTATCTTAATTTATCCTCAATCGGCATCATTCAATTGAAACTTTTAATGATTTTTCGGGATTTAAAAATTTAGGTGTATTCAATGTAAACTTTTGAAAACTCTCTAAAAGTATTGGTGTATTTAATTGAGACTTTTATAGATTTTTAAAAAGTTTCTAAAAGTCACGGTGTATTCAACTAAAACTTTTTAGAAGTCTCTACAAGTCTTGGAGTATTCAAATTTTTACTACTTTTAGAGACTTTTATAAAAGTCTTTATAATACTAACTTTTAAGCAGAAAATAATAAAATAAAATCTCAAAATTTGTCTCTCATTAATCACAAGATTTTGAAAAACTTTCACCAAAAAAATAAAAAAATAAGAAAGAAAATAAATTAATATGTATTTTTTTTTTCAAATATTTTTTTTTATTTTCCAAGAGTTATGATTAAAATTTATTTGTTTCTATTGATTATATTAGTTTCTATTTTTCTTTTTCTCTTTCTTATTGTTTATTTCTATTTTTTATAAAAGAATTATATTGTATTCTTATAACTTTTTTTTTTCATTCATTTTTTCTGAAAGATATCTATTTTTAATTAAATTATAAAATTTTATATGGACTAGTTTATAATTAAATTTAAATATATATTTTTTATTTATTCTTTAAAGGCATATTATATTAATAATATTGACTATAAAATTTATTTTTTATATGTATAATTATTATTTATTTAATTAAGGTATTAAATTTTTATTCTTTTTAAAATATTTTTTTATCATATCGGGAAATGGAAGGGGAAGAGGAATTGTGAGAAACATCAACTCGTATGTGATAATTTCACAATATTGCACTAGATCAACGTAAATTCTATTTCAAATAAAAGTTCTCAAAAGTCTTTTGAATTATACAAAAGTTTATAAAAGTTTTAAAATGAAAACGTATAAAAATCTACAAAAGACTTCCACTATAAAAATCCACGGAAATCATCAATTAAAAAGATCCATCAAAATTTTCAAAAATACCAATTGAATACACCCCCCGTAGTTTCAAATTTATCGAAGCACATTCATCTTTAACTCGACCTTTAAGCCATAAAGCATAGCCTGTTGAATCACTAGAGTCTACCAATCCAATCTATTTCAATACATATATTTGTTAAAGGGAATGGGAAACCCGACGCGTTCACGTTTGAGCTGGCGTTTGGATTTCTTCTCCTTAAGAATGGGAGCTGGCATGGCCTCCGAAACAGCATAGTCTACATCAGTTGTTATGATGTTTCGAGCGTTTGGACCATTTTAAGGATATCTTCGTGTTTTACATTTTGAGAAGGTCATTGTGGTGTATAAAAAATAAATTAGACTTATGTGGTGAATGGTAATTTTGTCGTGAAAATACAACCCTTCCAAGGGTGAAATAGGGTTTTGGATATGCAAGTGACTTCACACTACAATTATTTTTCATATTTTAATTACATTACATTTTAATTGCTTCTAAGATCCTTGAATTTTATTTCATATCAAAGTTCAATATTTTTCATTGCATTCTTGTACTTGACATTTCATAAGCTCCTTCTCATAAATCTGAGAAATAATCTTGACCTGAATATATCATCTGTGATCAATTTCTCCTATTCTTGATGGGTTTTTTTCTAGTTAATTTGAATATGTAAAAAGTCCAATTGGAGTCAACAAAATCATGTAATGCAGTATTGGAGAAGTAAGAGGAGAGCAATTTGGCTTTTATTTAAATACCCGTTCTCAGTTTTACTTTCAAATTCAAGAGCATTTTGTAACTACAGTCACCAATCTTGGAATTCATTTGTAGTACAATGTGATGCTTACTGTAGTTACAAAATGAACAATAAGCTTGTCGAATTGATTAGTAAGAGGAACGGTCCCGTTTCATCAATTAGCATATATTGTAAGTAATAATAATTTTCGTTCAAATATTTTTTTACATGCTTTGAATGAGGGGGAAATATATAATCGTAATTTTGTATTTGTTATTTTTATTTATTTATTTAAAAATACGATGGACACATAATTTTTTTAATAGAATATTTGAATGAAAACTATATCTTGTCGCACATGTATTAATTAATGAATATTAAAATTAAAAATTTTAATTAAATTAAAATGTAGTGTACTTGTTGAAAAATGTTGCATGGAAATGCTAGCTTAGCTTTTGCTCGAGACGACGTCGTTGCTCGATGCTTGGATTGGGTTAAGGCAATGGAAATGATCCAATTAGCTCCAAATTGAAAAGGACCAAATCAAGAGGGAAGAAGTATTGTACGTAAGAGACAAGCCCCAGTTTGGTAGCCTTTAATTAAAAAAAAAAAAAACTATGTTCTAAATAGTAATTTTTTAAAGAATGTATAGTTAAAAAGTAAGAAAAAAGTTACGAGTTCACATGTAGAATACTTTATTATATGAATGTACGGTTGAAAATGAATATGAAAAATAAATTAAGTTACAGTAAGTGAAATCAAACAGGAGCTAAAACTAGAAAATAAACAAAAATGCTTCAATAGCAACAGATTCTGTGTCATGGCTGACACTGTAAACTCTTGATAATAAATCATCAAATGCAATGCAAACAGTTTTACATACTTCATAAAAGTGTAAGCCATTTTTCCAATGGGTATGAACATATTACTAAAAGGATTGTACAAGAGGTAGACTTGAACATTCATCAGAACAAATGTTATCTTGTCATTTTCGGCAACGTATAATTTCTGTGTTGTAGATTAAAGGATTAGACTTGCACACAAAACAAATTCAATGGAGTTTCATCATCTGTGCATTACAATAAGCAGATAAAAGAGGTAATATAAACTAAAGATGGATGTTATAATGTAGTCAAAATTCAATATCTTTGTGCAGCATTAGCGTCATCGCTGGTGATGACAGAAGCAGTAGAAATTATCGAAGTGATAATGAAAGAAAAGGGCACACTTCAATTCGAATCCTTAATTAATTGCCAGAAAAATCAATAACCATTGCCTTAAACCATGAGAAATCTGAACTCAACACCCCAGCTCATGGCGCATATACACATTAAAAACTCTGAGATCTGAAATTTAGAATCTGCAGAAAGAGGGGGGAAATGGAAGGAGGAGAGGGGGATTTTCGCTCTTCAATTTCTTTAGTATATTAATTTATCAAAAACAAGAACATTTTTTTTCATATGAAATACCTGGATTCATTGAACTCAAAATAAATAATTAATTACGGACTTAAACTTTAAAGAGGATACATACAGAGCATGACACCAATTTATTGTTTTCTTAAGAGATTTGTGCAGGAATCTGCATTATATTATTTACAATCAGCATTCAGAAAGTCACACACCAATGCAACATCCCAAACAGATTCCATACCTTTTTCCATGATATTTAATTAGTAGTTCATTGAATTTGGTATCTATTAAACCAATTAGAGATGCTAGCCATTACATACAGAACCTGTTATTTTAGGAAACATCCACATTGGATTTACACTCTTGTAGTTTCTTCAACAACACATGTACAAGAAAGCAATAAAAGAAAATAAAGATGAGATCGATGAATATTGAGAAGAAGTTTGGTACATAGTAGTGAACAGAATTGAACAATACAATGGACAACATTTTTTACTTCCATTTCTTGCTTAATACTGTCAGGTACAGATCCGTACAATCTACTTTAACAAACAAGCCATAATAGTTCTCTCCAGTTACATTGAAAAATAAAGTCAATAGATACTATGTTATTACTGGGACATAAATATGCTTGAAGATAAGGTTGTAAAAGGACTGTAATTGGGATGAACATGCAAAACAAAGCAGAATATGTAGACTCTATATGTTAATGTGTTACATTTAACATACAAAAACTAATGAATGTGTGTTTTTAGCAATTAACTGTTGAGTACCCAGAAAAATAAAACAGTAAATAGAAAGTGATCAAGTGCTTAAGTTCCAGTGCACCAATAGAAGCTATTGCTTCGATTCACTTTTTTTCGATGTATTACCATTCTGTTGATGTGGCTGAGATTGCTGCTGCTGCTGCTGCTGCAATTGTTGCATGTTAACTTGAGTTGCCTGCTGCTGGCGTAATTGGAACATTGAGGGGTTAAGTGAAAGCTGCTGAAATTTGGATGAATCTCCACTTAGTTCAGCAGTTGCAATCTTCAAACGCTGTACCTCCTCTCTTAATGCTTCATTTAATGCTGGCATAAAAAACCAAGAAGGTTAATTTCTGCCAAAGTGCAACAGCAGAACCTTGGTAGCAACGAAATATATTGGATAAAACATCATATGAGCACTTCACCGACAGCCCCAACAAATAAAGGGGACCAAGAGCTGAAGCAGGCTGTCTAGTAGCACATTTAGAAAATTTTAAAGCTAGGTATCATTAAGCCCCTGTTTGGTGGCCATTAATTTGAGAAAAAAACTATGTTTTGAATAGTATTTTTTTTTGGAGAATGTGTGGTTAAAAAGTAGGGAAAAAGTTTGGATTTATGTGTAAAATATTTTATTGTGTAAATGTGTGGTTGAAAATAAGTATGAGAAATAAATTAAAGGCCACCAAACAGGGGATAAATTCCTGTGAGCAAGTAAAGTTATTATCATAAAGTGATTAAGATCAATCACAATATTGCACAGAGAAAAACTATGTGTATGGGTAAACTATAAGACATCCAAAGAGGATGCACACGCGTGTATTGGTGGGGTGGGGTGGGGATAGTGGCAGTCTGCTTACAAAGAAGATTAGTGGAGGAAAATGATGGAAGCAACTACACTTTGTAATAGAAAAATGGCTGGAGCAAAAAATGTTATTACATTCAGCATATTCTTGGCAAAAGAAGATATTCCATTGCTATAGAGGCTTCTTAGGTGGTCAGTCAGAGGTTACATTAAGAGGTGAACATGGATGTACACTATTTGTAATTTCTATGGGGTCTGTATTCATCTGCTCTAACTGGTGTCCCTCTTATGAACAAATGAAAACCGAACTTTTCAGTGTGTGCATAGGGGTGCCTGAAGGAAATCTGAAAGTGATTGCTTCGGTGCAACAGGATCTATTCACACCAAGACACGATCACTTATTTCATTTAGTGATGTGATGAAGTACTCATCTAACAACAAATGTTACATGTGAGATGATGATCATTCTTAGAAACAAGACGCCCTTAATTTTGGCATTACAGACAATTTTACGGTAGTTCATCGTTGTCGGACTGACCTAAGGGACCTACTCCTATTACACAGTTAAAGATTAATATATGTGCATCTAGAATTACACAACTTAGATGAAAAATCACAGAACCTTTTATAAAAATTGTATTAACTACTTTCTTCATTTATTTTATTAGGATAGTCTAAGGGATTTCTTAACAAATTAAAGAAAAGGCAATGCCACATTAATAGCAGAATATTTGTCACAATGCATAGCAACCAACATACAACATATATGATAGAGAATAATAATCGTACCATCCCGAAGCTGTGCCTGTTGATCCATGGCTTGCAGGCGAAACTTCAGCTCATTGTTCTCGCTTGTCAGTCCAGCAGAATCCCGCTGAAAGCAAATGAAATTTTGTCATAAATTGATAATATTAAAAAGGATGATTGAAAATGAGTGAACGAATATTAGCATTCTCAGCAGCCTCTCACCTGAAGTAGAGTAAGTTGGGCAGACAATGTGGTGGCTTCAGTCTGCAAAGTTTGGACCTTGTGTTCCAACTCCGCTATATATCTCATCTTTCGCTCTTTTGAACGAGCAGCAGATTGACGGTTGGCCAAGATCCTAGGACGATACAGGTGTACTTATTTAGAAGTATGAATCATTAAGTCACACCATATTTAAACAGAAAAAATAAAGACTAAAAACTGCTTAATTCAATGGAGAATTGAAGGATACACTACCTTTTGGCCCGCTTGGGATCACTTATTGCTATCTCTGTAAGTTTCTCATTTGCCATAATCTTCTTGAGTTCAGCCCCACTAAACTCACCATTACCAAACTCCAAGCTAAAGGTGTTTAAATTTCCGTCAATTGAATTGGTTGGTGAAAGTTGACCTGCGCCTGTTCCCGGAGAAGGAGACAACTTGGGTGACTCGTCAAAGTTCACATTTCCCATAAAACTATCCATAGAGACACTCCTGTAGTGTCGAGTGGTTGAAGCAATATCACCCCCAGCATTCCTTTTGATCCCCTCCCTCGGTCTCTGAATCTTGTTGCCACTCTCATTGACACTACTTGTGGCTTCATTATCACTACTGTCATTTGTCTTTGTACCACTAGCCCTACTATCTTCACGATTTTCATTTCCTAGCTTCTCATCAGTACCAGAAGAGTTAAAGGCGTCAATGCTGTCCAAATTCATATAAGCAGAAAACAGATCATCTACAATTTCCCCTTCAGATTTCCTCTCCCCCATTCCTTCAACGTTGCTCCCACCACCTTTCTCCCAGCTCGACTCCCGTTTAACCAATTGCACAGGTTTAGCCCCCGAATTCTCTTGTAACCTCTCCAAAGCACCGGGGCTCCTTAGCGGAATAAGTGGTGGTGGCTGCATCATGGTAGAGAACCCAAAAGGGACATCACTATTAGACCTTCTATGTGCCTTACTAGGAGGAAGACCCTCCCCGCCCCTTAATGAACCACCCCTTGTGAAAGGCGAAGGCGGCAACAATGAATGTAGGTTCCCATCCCTCTCCTCCATTGATGCATCAGCAGATACTTGGTCAGAAATTGAAGTAGCGGGTGACTCTCGATAAGGTGAAGGACTTAAGGGCGGCAAGGAATCAAGAGAAAAGAATGACGGTTGTGATAATGAACGCGAGTGTGATGGCCCTGCACTAGGACTAAAATTCTGCATACCCATTTGCTGATTCGAAGGGCGGTTAACCTGAACTTGTGAGTAGGGCGAAATAGGTGGCATTTGTGGATAGGAAGGTGGAATGCCAACTCTTTTAACACTATTGTCCGCGGTCATATTAGGGGAAAATTGTCGCATCTGACTGCGAAATTGTGGAGTATTTAGCAAAGGCACATCAAGTTGATTCACTAGAAAGGGGGATTGCTTAAGGAGAGAAGATGATGAAGCCCCAACTGATGATTGAACTCTTGGAACAGTATCATCACCCATTTGACTTAAAAAACTTTCAAACTACCAATAAAAAACTTCGTTTTCTATAAATTAATAACCTTCACCTGTACATCAAACCGAAAAACCTCAATTCGAAACTCGAAATCATACATAAAATCTAAAGTGAATTTAAAATAACTAAACTTCAAATGCAATAAACGATCAACATATAAAGACGAACATGAAGTTTATTTAATAATTAAACAAATCATTGAAAAAAAATACTAATTAAAAAAAATTCTCCAATGTAACCTGACCAATGTACAGCAAGAGTTTATCCGGCACAATGGGAATGAAGAGAGCTTTTATGAGGATTTACAGTTAGTGTGTGACTATATTGGTCAGTACTTCCTCTCTCTAAAAGTAGTAATTTTCTCTCTCTATATCGAGGACGATGACTGGTAAGAGTATTACACGGATTTCATGACTGCCACAACGCTACATCAGTGAGACGAAGACGCGTGAATTTGATATGAATTTCGATTTCATCTGGGTTGAATTTGCATTTCGGATGAATTTGCATTTCATTCCGACCGCATTCCACTAATTAATTCTTTTGTCTCCCCCATCACCGCAACTTATGTAGCAATGGATCTCTCTTTGGTCTAATTCTAACATCTTTGCACAAATAAGGGATACATTAAGCCTCCACACGTTGAGATTGAGATCGATTGACCCTATTTAATTAATATATGTAATAAAGTGTTGAAATTTGAGTGAAGAACAATATATCTATACTTAAATTTGGATTTAATATATTTTTTTCATTATTATTTGACAAATTAGTATTCTCACAATAAACTAAATAATAATTAAAGATGCGTGTCATGCTACTCAATCTATATATATCCTTGTTGATCTCGAGGGACGAACGAGGCTAGGTTAATCGAAAACTCTTTACTCTTTTAGGGTAAGAAATGATACAGAAAATGTCTCAAGTCAATGTTCGAGCACATATATCACAAACAAGTTACACGAGTGAACTTATAACAGGAGTCTAAATTGGACTTCGGTGAAGGTAAACATGTTTAAATTGCAATGTAGCTACATGTACACATTTCTTAACATCGTGATTTGCTGAATTAACATTGGGCACAATCTCGCACCACCTTTCATATTTCATACATTTAATCCAACCATCATCCACCTACCACATCATTCATGTGTAAAGTAAGTGATAAAGGAGGTGGTACAAATGATTTAACTCCTTAAATTGGTCCACTCATTTTGACGTCCTCAAATACAAAATTTTTGTTAAGAAACTTTAAAATTTATTGGGTTTTTCCATTTGTACCGAAAATATGTGACAACGAATTGGACAACCACTCACATGCGTGCGGGCCCTACATAAATAAAAAATAGAAAAAAATGTGAGACATCTCTCTATTGTGAGTGTTCGGTCAAAGCGTTTGTCAACCATTTTCGATAAGTGTAGCATTGCTCAAATGTATTTTCTTTCTGCATGTTTATAACGAAATAAATTTGAAAGGGACAAGAATTATAATCCACCTTGTAAGTTTCTATATTTCCTCAAACTTAACTAACTGATTAGTCTCAACAAATTAATTACTACAATAAAACATGGTTTAATTACATTACTGTAACAAAACAAGTTATTCAAAAACTTCGTATTATTGCATTAATCTAATCTGAATAAAAGAATGTGCAATGATGAGAGCGGATAAGATTAAGGTTAAGTTAGGTAACAAAATAATTGAGACAAGAAAGGTGTGGTCACACCACTAATTTGACGTTAATTACGTGACTTTCCTCTCGCTTGTCTGAGCCTCATTTTTATTTTATTTTTTTTATATTCAAATTTTCTAATTTACACCAGACTATGTCCTGGACCACCCATCACTGGCCCCTCAGTGATGGGTGTAGGTTAATCGCGGGATATGCCTAAGTTGACCAGGGTCTGTGCACCCTTTATATTCCTGACCTCAAGGGAGCCTTCCTCCATGGATGGAGAACGTGGAGTTAAAAAATAATGAGAAGTTTTGAATTTATGTGAAATGTTATTTTATTGAAAATTGTGATTAAAAATAAAAAAGATAAAATTGTATTTTAAAAATAACGAGGCCAAGTGACCCATAATTAATTTTCTTGTTTTGTGTCATGGTTTACACGTCACATAATGTGACAACCACGAAAGGAAATGGAAAATGCACTTTTCTTTTCGGTCCAGCTAAATTTGTTCTCTTTCGTTGACGATTTTTCCTTCCTTTTTTGAAGGTTTGGATTTCACAGATAAGGATCTTTTTTAGAATTTTTGTCAAAGTACAATTTTTGGTTTGAAGAAGCGTGAAAATTTGTTGCTTTATGGAAAAAGCGATTTTACAAGATCAATTTTTAAATTGGACTAACTCAGCTCTCTATTTGACCAAGTGATTTCATTTTATACTTGATCAAAACAAACAAAATTGAGCCTCACTTTTTCTTGCTCCTCGAATTCTCATAATTACTTGATCAAGTTTCATTCATTTTTCTTGGCTTTTCCTTCTTCTCACGTCCTTTGATAAGAATTCTTATAGAGAGCGTAAAATTGTGGACCTCAAAAAATGAATTGTTGATAATTTTCTTTCTCGATTTCAGTACACATTTTCCTCTTCTCGAATATTTTGGTATGTTTTGAAGCCAGTCTTCTCTCTGTGTGTGTGTGTGAGAGAGAGAGATATTGGTATTACAACGTTCTTTTAGTCATAAACGTTTCTTAGAGATATTCTTTCAACCCTCTAGAGGTGTTACCCTAGATATTCCTTCATTCCAAGGCGTTTTTTTTTTTCATAAGAGACATTCTTTCAATATTTAGGTTTTTTGAGTTGAATTTAGGATCATTATTCCATTATGCAATGGTCTATTTATAGACTATTGTGAAGACATTTCAGTCATTTCACAATATTTTATAGGAAGTCATAATTAAGTTTATAACTTTCTAAGTTTTTATGGATGTTTGTGCTTTGTGACACTTATCCAGAATTTGCATGCATGCGAAGGTATGTGGCACTAACGTCAAAGTTATATTGTTAGATTTCGCACTAAGGTTTGTGTCCATGTTCGAGGCCATTCAATGACATTAATTATGTTTCTGGCTGATGCCTTTAATATGTTCTTTGTCAATTATTAGGGTTTTGTACATTTCCTATAGGGAGCTGGTGATCATGGCATTCCTTTGGCCTGATACGCCTCAATCATCGAGGCATACATATTAATTCCATAACACATGGGCACGTGTTGTGGCTCTTTTCACGACTGATGAGCATATATGTGAACCATAATTATTTCAATACGTAATAATAGATATAAGTATTGCACTACAATGGTGGTGTAACTCAAATACACACCTAAAGAGCTTGATGGTATACACTATATCTTCAGAAAAGCACATGATGAATAAATATAGTGCAAAGTCTCCAAGCATTATCATTCACCTAACTATGGGTAAAGTGGAACTCCTTCAAAATAAAGAGAAAGAGAGGGTGGAGTAGAAATCTCAACTCCCCATCCATATCGCCATTTGTACATGGCAATTTCATGAGGGTTTCAATCTAGGAAATTGTTCAGTAGGAAGAAGAGCCATACATGATCTTCAAAAAGTTCGAATTTGTTAAGCATTTTATCCAATTTCTTTGGAGAGTTATATTGACAATATCTTTTGGGGTATCAAGTACTACTCATTTGCCATCGGGTCCCGTTCGATTTAAATTGTTTGGTGAGCAGACTTAGTAGACATAGCCCCTGTTTGGTAAAAATTAAAATGAAACTTTTAATCTAAGTTAAAGTCAGCAATTAATTTAAACCACATATTTTATGAGATCCAGAACTTTTAAACCACACATTTCATCAACTTCTATTAAGATCTACTAAAAACTTATTTTAATCTCTACCAAAGAATGGCCTAATTTGGACTCTAGGAGCATGAGAATCAAGAATGTCAAAAATGTCTTTCATTAGAATTCGACCTAGTAGGTAGATTGCTCCCAAGGGTCAACTTATCAACTGTCCGCAAGGGACTAGTCAATATACCATTCCAAATGAAGGTATCGACCGACTTGTGAAGCAATGGGTCTATCAACCCCATCAGTGGAAGATTTTGAACCGGTGGAGCAATTTGTGCAGGACCTACTCAACCGACATGATAGGAGATGAAATCTCGAAAGAAAGAATTACCCTATACATGGAGAAAAAGAAGGTAGATGAATAATTACAAAAGGGACTCTATCTTTAATTGCATAAGAGAAGATAGATGTATAACAAATATAGAAGAAAAGTCTAGCAAACACAAAGGAAATGCTGAGACAATATTTGGAAGGAAAAATGAATTCCCTTTCTTTTACTGTAAAAAGAAAATACAATTATGAATTCTGTTTTTGTACATCTTTACACTGGATCTCGCCTCCTATATATATACAAACTAATGAAGAATCTTGTAACAAATTATTCAACAAAAAGGGGGAGCAAAAAAAAGAAAAACATGTACCATTTCCTTCATCCCATTCTCTTCCAGAATCTTCTAATATGGTTTGGCATTTGTTGGCTCCATAATCCTGCTGTCATGGCCAGCTGGTGCTACCTGATGTTCCTCTCTTGCTTCCCACATTTTGACAGCCCCCCACAAGATGGAGAGTAGATGTCTTCTACTCCCATCTTGAACATGTGGGAATAGAAACTACTTGAGCATAATGGTTTTGTTAAAATATCTGCAACTTGTGAATCACTCTTCAAGTAATTTGTAACCACGCTTCCCTCTTGAATTTTATCCCGGACTAGGTGACAATCGAGCTCTATATGCTTGGTTCTTTCATGGAAAACAGGGTTGGCAGCTATATGTAGTGCCGCCTGGTTATCACAAGAGAGTAGAGCAGCTTGAGGGTAAGGTATTTGCAAGTCATTCAATAAGTATCTAAGCCAGGATAGTTCACAGCACACGCTTGCCATCGCTTTATATTCAGCCTCTGCTGATGATCTAGATATGGCATTTTGTTTCTTCGATTTCCAAGATACCAAAGAATCCCCAATGAAAACACAATATCCCGTTATTTATCTTCGCGTATCCAAACACGCCACCCAATCTGAATCACTATATGCTTTAAGTTGGAGGGAAGATGTCGAAGCAAGCAACAGCCCTACTGGACCACGAGGGAATTACATAGTTAACACTTTGTATGCAGCTTTCAGATGAGGCATCCTAGGATTTTGCATATACTGACTGAGCAATTGAACTGAGTATGATAAATCCGGCCTTGTGATAGTCAAATATAGCAATCTCCCAATAAGTCTTCTATAGGTAGAAGGATCTGATAAGGGTTCTCCTTTGTCTTTGGAAATTTTGAGATTTTGATCAAGTGGCACTTTTGTTGGCACTGCCCCAATCATTCCTGAATCATCTAAAATATCTAATGCATATTTCCTTTGACAAATGTGGATTCCTCTTTTTGATCTTGCCACCTCTATTCCAAGGAAATATCTTACGGTGCCCAAGTCTTTGATTTTGAACTTTTCATCAAGTGAATTTTTGAGAGAGTGAATAACTTCCATGTTGTCACCTGCCACTATAACATCATCTACATACACCAGTACGGCTGTAAAAGAGTCCTTCGTGCTTCTTATGAATAGGCTATAGTCTGATTTGGATTGCTTAAAACTTTGTTGAAGGATGAAAGATGACAGCTTTGAGTACCATTGTCGAGAGGCTTGTTTTAGGCCATATAAACTTTTGTTAAGTTTGCATACCTTTTTCTGATCTCCTGCTGGATATCCTGGTGGAAGTTCCATGTAGACTTCCTCATCTAAATCCCCATGTAGGAATGCGTTGTTAACATCCAGTTGATGTAAAAACCAACCTTTGATTGCTGCTATAGCAAGCATAGTTCTCACAGTCACCATCTTTGCCACGGGTGAGAAGGTTTCATGGTAGTCAAGACCTTCCACTTGGGTGTATCCCTTTGCCACCAGCCTGGCTTTATTTCTTTCAACCGTTCCATCTACCTTGAATTTAATTTTGTAAACCCATTTACAGCCTATAGCTGTCTTTCCAGGAGGTAGGTCTGTCACAACCCAAGTATCATTCAACTCTAGAGCTTTTACTTCAGCATTCATGGCATCTTTCCATTCAGGATACTTGATAGCCTCCTGATATGAATTAGGCTCTGTATGTGCAGAGATAGATGTGATAAAAGCCTTGTGTGATTTAGATATTTTGCTATATGATAGAGTGGCACATAAAGGGAAAGGAGAACCTGCAATGATAGAACCTTTTTCCTTATCCAACTCTTGGAAATGGTGCAGTGAGGCAGCTTGCTGACACACAAAGTCCTGCAAGTATGAAGGAGCCTTTCTGACTCTAGTAGATATGCGAGGATGATGTGGGGTTATAGAAGTTATAGGAGTGTTTTGAAGAGGGTCAGTTCGTTCGGCTGAAGTATTAAGGTCTTCATTATCTTGCTGTATACTTCCTGTAGATTCTGATGAGGTCTGAGGAGTTTGATTTATAGGATAGCTCAAATCAGTACCTGCTGGATGAGTGTAAACTAAATCATTTGGCTTTGGGAAAGTGTGTTCAGCTTTTAGCATTTGGTCAGGCTTTATGTTTTCAGTTTTGAAAGGGAAGTTGTCTTCATAGAAGACAACATTTCTGGAGATGAATACTTTGTTTGATTGGAGGTCCAGTAACTTATAACCTTTGACACCATAGGGATACCCTAAGAAAGCACATCTTCTCGCCCTTGCATCAAACTTATGTCTGTTATGTGTGAGTGTGGATGCAAAGGCTAGACAACCAAAAACTCTAAGGTGGGAATATTGGGGCTGAATTTTGAACAGAACCTCAAAAGGTGTTTTATTTTCGAGAAGAGGAGTAGGTGTCCTATTTATAAGGAAGACTGCAGTTAACACACAATCATTCCAATATTTCATAGGAATCTCACTTTGGAATTTTAGGGCTCTAGCTACATTTAGGATATGTTGGTGCTTTCTCTCCACTATGGCGTTTTGTTGAGGCGTTTCAACACATGTCCTTTGATGTATGATCCCTCTTTTCAAATAGAATTCTTTCATATCAAACTCTCCTCCATTGTCACTTCTAATCATTTTAATTTTTACTTCAAATTAAGTTTCTATCATGTTGCAAAAACTCTGTAAAGTGCTAGAAGCCTCGGATTTTAGTTTGAGCATGTAAATCCAAGTACATCTACTAAAATCATCAACAATGGTGAGAAAATATCTTGATCCATCATAAGCAATCTCGTTACATGGTCCCCATAAATCACAATGAATTAATTCGAAACACTCCTTTGATATATGTTGACTAACACTAAAAGGCAGCTTATGCAACTTAGCTAAAGGACAGATAGGACATGGTTTCTTTGTGCTAGCATTTCTAGATTTGTGATCAACACTCAATAAACTTATTCTAGAATCTGAAGGATGTCCCATCCTATAGTCCATAGATCAAATTCTTTGGACTTAGTGGTGACAGATGCAGATGTGGAAGTTCTGTTAATGGGAATAGGTAGATGGTCTGTTAAGGCTGTAGGGAGGACTTCTTCTTGCAGCAAATGGTACAACCCGCGCCTCACTTTAGCCATTCCAATCGTCTTCCAAGTTGTAAGGTCCTGTATAAAACAAGATTCAGAGGAAAAAATCAGACAGCAGTTTGATGTTTGCGTTAATTTTCTGGCTGAAATGAGATTGAAAGAAAAGGATGGAACACATAAGACTTCATCTAAAATTATTGCATCAGTTATCTTAACGGTTCCTATATGAGTGACAGGGACTACATTTCCATTTGGAAGGACAACAGAATGTAAGATTTCTCCCTTGATGGTAGTGAAAAATGATGGAGAGCATATCATGTGATCTGTGGCTCTAGTATCCATGATCCATGGAGTGATGGGAGTCCTTTGAGGTTTTGTAATATAAGTAGATGAACAAAAAGAAATACCAGAGATTTTGGGCATTTCAGGTTCGTTTGAAGGGGATGGTGCGAGAGTCTGCACTCGATTTACTGATGAGGTGTGAGTCTGAGTTTCCTGTGATCTCAGTAATGCCATAAGTTGATTATATTGCTCCTGAGTTAGAGATACTTGGCAATTGTTAATTCCTTGTTCCTGTCCAGTAGCTAGTAGGCCTGTAACTTGATTTGCGGAAGAAGCAACACCCTTTTGCCTTCCATAGAGTTTGTGGCCTGGTGGATATCCATGAATCTTGAAGCATTTGTCTATTGAATGCCTAGGCATTTGACAATGCGAACATATTGGTTTATCAGGATTAGCTTTAAAGCATTTATCAATAGAGTGACCTGGTATCTTGTAAAAGCTACAGAAATACCTCTTCTGAATTCCTATGTTCTGCCTTCCTCCCTCTCTTGGAGCAAATCTCCCCATTAAGGCCATGGATTCTACATTAGGAACCTCAATAGATATCTGTCTTCTCTTCTCCTCTTGCTGAATGATTGAGTATACCTCGTTCAGATTTGGGAAAGGTTTAATCAGGAGTATTTGTGCCTTGATTCCCTTAAATGAGTCATTTAAACCCATAAGGAACTTCATCACCCAATCCCTTTGTTGGTTATGCACTACAACTCTCAATCCTCCACATGAGCAATTTGGGATAGACTCATAGTTCATCAGTTCATCAAGAAGAGTTTTCAGCTTTGAGAAATACATGCTTACAGAATCCTGATTCTGCATTAAGGCTGCTATTCCTTGCTTTACTTCATAAATTCTAGGGGCATTTTGTTATGCCAAGCGTTGCTCAAGTTCCAGCCATAGTTGGTGTGCCGTTTCTGCATACAGAGTGCTGGCTTTAATGTCAGCAGACATGGTGTTTTGTAACCATGTGATGACAATGTCATTGCATCGAAGCCAATGATCCATCAAGGGGCTTCCTGCATCAGCTGGTTCAGAAATACTTCCATCGATGAATCCTAATTTGTTTTTGATTCGGAGGGCCCTTTTCATTGACCTAGCCCAAGAGTGGTAGTTGCTGGAATCCAGCATTTGCGTAACAAGTAGTGCACCAGAATTTTCATTTGTTCCAATGAAAAACGGACTGGTTGGCTGAGATGTATCAGCAGCTTCTGTGATGATGACTGCCGGTTGATTTTGATTGTTTTCGTTTGAGGATTGATTTTGATTATCATTAACATTTGAAGATTCATTTTGGGCCATCATGGCTCTGATACCATATAACAAATATAGAAGAAAAGTCTAGCAAACACAAAGGAAATGCTGAGACAATATTTGGAAGGAAAATGAATTCCCTTTCTTTTACTGTAAAAAGGAAATACAATTATGAATTCTGTTTTGTACTCCTTTACACTGGATCTCGCCTCCTATATATATACAAACTAATGAAGAATCTTGTAACAAATTATTCAATAGAAAGGGGGAGCAGAAAACAGAAAAACATGTGCCATTTCCTTCATCCCATTCTCTTCCAGAATCTTCTAATATGGTTTGGCATTAGTTGTCTCCATAATCCTGCTGTCATGGCCAGCTGGTGCCAGCTGATGTTCCTCTCTTGCTTCCCACATTTTGACAGGTGTCGTGGACGACATCGTTTTTCATCCGTTGGGTCGGGCTTCATTGGATGAAGCAGCTTGGCTTGCCAAGGCAGTGGCTGCAGATATTGGAAATAGATTTCAAGGTATGTATTTCTTATAGTGTAAATGAAATCACAAGATTACAACAAAATTTTAAGGAATTTCTTATATGTTGCAGTGCCAGTGTATCTATATGGTGTAGCACATCCAACAGGGAAGGCCTTAGACGCCATCAGGCGTGAACTCGGGTATTATCGACCCAATAGTAGGGGAAACCAGTGGGCTGGATGGACGCAGCCCGAAATNGCTAGAACAGAAAGTTAAGACTCTCACGAGTAATCTAGAAGAGTCAAATTCTCAACTTGAGGATTTCTCCAGTGGGACTAAGAAACTTGATAGTCTTTTAGGTATAAACAAGCATGTAGGTGATAGACGAGGTTTATGTTATGTTAAGAACAATTCCAATTTTGCTAGTACCTCTAAGACTTCTTTCGTTCTTGCTTTTACTCAGCCACACATTACTAGAAATCCTGACCCTAGAGCTGAGTGTGTCATAAGACAGAGAATGCCTAGGCCTCATAAGAACACTGCACCTCAAGTTCATTTTCAACAATCGTATGTGTCTGAGCCTAGATTTGTACCCACTTGCCATCGTTGTGGTGCTTTGGGTCACATTATGTTGAGGTGTCATATGTGTGTGCGCAGTGAGAAAAATCAGGATATTCTCAATCAGGTCAATAATCTTTCCAGTCAAGTTCTTCAGCTGACTAAGATGATCTCTCAATTGACTAGGGCTACTTCCATTTCTAGGAAGACATGTGTCAAGAAAGTTGATCTTGATCGTATCGCAGAAGCTGGTACTTATGCACCATATTGATCCCATTTGTGGGTATCTGCATGCATTGTCCATTACACTGGTGTATTTTGCATCCATCTTACACTTTGCAAGCGTTTATTTTTTTTGTCGTTTGTTTAGCTTTTAATTGATGTCTGCTTTTTATTTGTCTTGTGTACTTGATATTCATTTTATTTGTGTGAGGTTTTCATTCAAAATAAAAAAAAAAATCAAAAAACATTGAAAAAGGTTAAAAAAAAGGTTTTGAAAAATGTGAAAAATATAAAAACATTTTTTGTTTGTGCAAACGACACATCATTTTGATTTTAAACCAGTTTTGTGAAATCAAGTAAGCAATTATCTGTGTTGTACTGTTATTTCCATTGCATTGTTCGGTTTAATGTGGAGTATTGAGTATATGTGTCGTTATGTATTCATTCGCACTGCATACACTATAATCTTGTGAACTAATTCTGAATCGCGTGTGTGAGGGTTGGGATGGTAGCCACGTGCTAGTAAGGTGACCTCGAACATGAATTGACCTGCATTTAGAAGATCTTAGCTCATGATGGCCTTCCTGCACTGGTGAACTTAAGATTGAAAAATGATCAAAATAAAAGATGAGTGCTTAATTGATTCATCTTATACTCTGTTCGAAACCTATTTGACTCGAGTAATTAAGCTCCAGGGGTTTCGCATATCCTAGTGCCTATGGTCATCTGACTGGGGATAATCGGTATAAAGCTCATTAAAGGGGTCAATTTAGTCGCTTAATGGACAGGGTTTGCACATAAGATACCATTTACGAAAAAAAGAATGAAAAATCATTTATGCTCATAATGAGAGGGGAGAAAAGAAAATTCATCATTTAATTGAGCTCGTTTTCAGGTCCTAAAACTTATTCGGGTTTGACTTTCATTTGTAGGGATCATTCTTATTTAGGACGTGATGTTTTGCATATCCTTTCTCACAAAATTAAGATTTGGAAACGTTTTCACGAGAAAATAGTGACACATTTCACACATGAGTCATTTATACCTTTTACTCCATCTTTAACTTAACTGCATAGGTGGGAAAGTCTATTTGATAATGCTTGACTTGTGTTTGCGTGCTTGATTCAAATCATCGAAGTGTTGAATGCTAAATTTTCATTGAATTTCGTGCTATTGGTATTTATAAAAAAATGGGTGGTGCTATAACTGAAAGTTTTGAAAAATGTGATATATTTGTTAATTTTAGAAAACTGTGCTTCAAAATGTATTTTTCAAATTTCTGGTGCTATTTCTGACATTTAAGCTTTCGCTCGAATGTCGCTTGAGCAAGCCTTTCATATTGGTCTCGCTCGAGCAAAGGTCGTATATAAGGCGCAATTGTAGTATCACTTTTACTCTTTTTTTTTTTTTTTGAATTTTTCTCTCAAAACTTGATCTCCACTCATCAAATTTTGGCAAAATCTTGTACTTCAAGTCTTGAGCAATTACTTTGGAACTCTTTTACATCAATTTGGCCACCCAATTCTTCAAATTTCAAAGGTAAACCTATCAAACCCTAGTTTTGACATTTTTGGGGGTTTTGTGATCTTCTAGGATGATTGCCTTAATTCTTCACATACATTAACATGTTTTGAGCCCATGAATGTTGTGGGATTGTTGTGTGCATCAATGTGATTCAACTTTTACATGTTTTTAATAATTTTGGCCATTTGTTGAATGTTCGTCATTGCACTTGATGTTTTTGGCTTATTTTGATCAATTTTGATGGAGATTGGGATATGACTAGTTGTTGGATTTGTTATTTGTGGTGTTAGGATGTTGGATTAGTCACAGGTGTAGCCAAGTGTGCTTTGAATTTCACGGATTGGTATTGCCCTCTAAGTGTTCGATAAAATGCTTCTTTGGATTGACCGTGTGTTTTTGGTCTTGTTATCGCACACACGAGTCATACTTCATGCCACGACTACTCCCATGCACTCACATGTCAATTTGGAGTTTCTTTGCATTGAATTTTGATTTAGGTTCCATGACACTCACATTGCACTACCGTCTAGAGACCACTGCACCTCCGTCTAGACGCCACTGCACCTCCTTCCTGCAGTCACTGCACTATGTCCATGCATTGTTCTATTTGACACTTTTGCATTGTTTTGTGTGTGTGTGTGTGACATATGTTTGCATCGTTTTGCATTTCGTACCTTGATTTGCATCGATTTACGTGCATGTTTTATTTGTACATCATTTTTACCCATTTTCATGCATTTGACTATGTGGCTGCTCGTATGGTCTATACTCTCTTTCGTAGCATCTCTTGACATGTTTGTTAAGCAATCATGTTCTAGATGTCGTCGAAGAGAGCCAGGACCACCACACCGCAGGCTAGTGGATCCACCTCTTATATTCGAACGCGTTTCATATCTTCTACTACTTACGAGGTCTTTACTTCTCAGTTTTCCCATCATCCTGTCCTCGTGGAGAGTGAGGTTATCTTAACTGATTTATCCCCCGACATTGCTGCCATTTTTGTTTCTCGAGATTGGGATTCTTTGTTGACTGAGTTGGTTCCCCCCTAGTCTTTTGATTCAGGAGTTCTTCGCCAACATCCACGAGGTTTGCGATCCTTCCTTTAGAGTTTATCTTAGAGGTCGTACTTTTAGGATCTCTTCTGATATTTTAGCTGAGTCTCTTCATATTCCTCGGGTTCTTCACCCGATTTTTTCTTATCTTTCGGCTGAGATTGGCCCTTTCGACTCTGTAGTTTATTCTACTCTTTTTGATATCCTATTGGCTGGGGGTTCGACTTCGGTTCACACTAGATCACTTCCGATCGAGCGTCAGGTTATGTTACGCATTGTGTGCAAGAACCTGTGGCTGGTTGCACACAGTTCTTCCTTACCATCCTATAGGGCTAGATTTCTTTATGCCCTGGTTCACGATGACTTGATTGACCTTCCTACTTTCTTGTGCCAGCATATTCTTCACACTTTCAGAGTCTCTGGTCGTAGGATATGTCTTTCATATGCTTGTCTTATTCATCGTTTAGTCACTGCCCTTGGCGTTGTCTTTCCTAAGGGTTCTTCTTATCAGATAGGTCGACCGATTGGCTTATCTATTATTTCGCAGAGTCAATCACATGCTACTTCTTCGTCTGCTCCTCTTGGGCCTACTGATCCAATAATGTCGGCAAATTTAATTGACGATCCTCTTTCTACTGATCCATCATCCATTCCATCCTCTGAGGCTCCATCCACTTCTCGCGTTCCTCATTCTACGTTTTCTTCTATTCCTTTTGATGTTTCGACGGTTGATCCCATGACCGCTTTGATGGCCGAGATGTCTACTATGATCAGCCAAAAGGATCGGCTGCTTGTAGAGGTGACTCAGACGAGAACAGAGGTTACTGCGCTACGTGGCGAGGTTATAGATGTTCAGCGATAGTTGCGCTGGATGCTAGAGCACTAGGAGTATGAGACTGATGAGACTGATACTTCGGATGGAGACGATGCTCCTGCCTTGTAGACAGGGATAGAATTGTAGTTGATATTGATTTATATGTGCTAGCCGTTCGGCTTATTCTTCATGTAGTATAACCTTTTTTGTAGTTTTTTTCTCAAGTTATTGGAATTTTCTTTGCCATTTGTTGTATTATTGCTTCGGCATTTGTGATAAAAAGGGAGAAAATTTTATATTAAGAAGGAGATATATACACATTTCTTGTTTAGAGTAGCTTGTTACATATTGATACTTATCATATATCTTGAGGGGTCATTGGGGTAAGATTGTTTAGACATTTTATACTTTACATTTGATTTGATCTTTTGCTTATGTCTTTAGAGGTCGATGGGGTGAGATATAGATACATTTTCTACTACTTTAACACTTAGAGTTTGCAGTAGTGGCATTACATTTGCATTGCATATCAAACTGAGGGGGAGCATGCACATTGCAATTACATTTGCATTTCTTGCATGACTGTTTGAGTTTTCTTGATGTTTTGTAGTATTAATGTGGTTATGGTATCTTAGTTAACATTAATGCTGCATCTCAAACTAGTTTTCTTATTTCACTGACTATGCTTCTAAGTATTTTATTGCTTATTTTCGGTATCACGTGCTTTTACACTGATATGTGAGTTTTTTATTTCAGGATACAGGATTAACAAAGTGGAAGCTACATTCAGTTGGTTTCGTTGGACTTGGGTAGTTTGGATAGGTTTTATTTGTTTTGTGTTTTGTCACATAATGCCAAAGGGGGAGTTTGTAAGGTTTATATTTTGTATTGACGATTCTGTGAAAAAAATTGATCAACTTGAAAATTTATAAAAGTTTAGAAACTAAATTTTAAAGTTTCATATTTGGTATGTTAGCTTAGGGTTTGGGGTTTTATGTATTGACCAACTTGAACATTTATAAAAGTTTATGGACTAAATTGTAAAGTTTCATAGTTGGTAGGTTAGCTTAGGGTTTGGGGTTTTATGTTTGGAATAAGAAGGATTC